CTACCGCCCTCCAAGCACTAGCCCCATGCCCGACGTACTGCACAAGTAGCGCAACAACCCTCTTCGCTGCAGCCATGTGCTCTGGTCGGTGTCTCCCAGGAGCAACATAGCGTGCAAGAATGCTAAGAGGGTATGCAAGGTCAGGTCGTGTGCAGGTCATCAGGTACATGAGGCAGCCAACAAGCTCTGGGTACGGGCCACTCGACTCTACGGACTCATCCGAAGGCAGAGCTGAGAGCGAGTGGCGAGTGGGCAGAGGAGTGGCCTGAGGGCGAGGAGTACGTGAAGCCGAAGCGCTGAAGGACCTGCTGCACCATGTGTGACTAAGTCAGGGTAATGGTGCGGCGTGCTCTGTCCCGGGTGATCTGCAAGCCAAGGTAGCTGCGCAGCTCACCCAGGTCACTGCACGTGTGTCTCTTCTGCAGCTTCGGACTTCACGTAGGCGAGTCCAGCAGTGTCAGCTGTGGCAAAGACCAAGTCGTTGACGTACACGAGGATGTAGAACGGCGGCAGAGAGGTGTCGGTGCGCAGAAACAGCGACGGGTCGGCAGTAGAAGGAGCAAACCCAAGAGCCGCAAGCGTAGTCCTCAGTGTGTCGTGCCACTCACCGTGGCGCCTGGCAAAGACCGTAGACTGGACGCCGGAGGACTCCCACTGGGTACCAGGACGGAAAGACCCACTGAAGCCAGGTGGGTGGCGCAGCCAGATCTCCTCGTGGAGGCTGCCCTGGAAGAAAGCTGTGTTGAAGTCGAGAGAGTGCAGCTCGTAAGCACGGTGAGCAGCAACGTGCAACAGTACCCGAAGAGTGGTCATCTTCGGGGTGGGGGAGAAGGTCTGAAAGTAGTCAACTCCCTGCCGCTGACATGAAGCCAACGAGCCACGTAACGCGCCTTGAAGACAGGCGGATAACCCGGCGGCCGCTTCACACCCTGAAGATCCACATGCCACTGACGATGTTCGCCCCAGGAGGGGGGACAGCGTCAACGTAGGTGCCTGTGGACTTCCAGAAAGCCATCTCTGCATCTATAGCTGCCTTCCACTAAGAGGAGTAGGGACCCTCTATCGCCTCCGCGTAAGAGCGCGGAGTCGGGATGTCAAGTGCATCCGGGTCTCCCTCAGGGGTAAGCAGTACAGACACGAGATGAGGTGAAGCGCTGTTAGACACTGGAACTCCTCCTACATGTCCACAAGGACGTCCGTGCCAAGGGAACACTCACCCCCGACGGACGGAGGACAGACAGGCTCAGAGTGAGCGACAAGACTAGCAGCGTAGTCTAGGCGATAGCAAGCAGCAAAGTCGACGAGCTCCGCTACAAGGGCAGACGAAGAAGTAGACTCGAAGGAAGGGTTTGTGACTACAGTAGCAAGGAGACGCGTGACAGTAGGACTGGCAGCACGAAGAGAGTCCGACTCCGGGTCGGCAAGAGTAGGAAGAGAGGACTCAGGAGTAGAAGGCAAAGGGGCACGCAAAGGAGCAGTGGAACGGACGTAGAGACATCCGGTGCGTGCAAGGGACAGGAGGAGGACGCTGACGCGAACCACCACCACTAGTGCAAGCAGCACGGACACGCGACGCAGGGCAAGACGCAGGCTCACGACGCTCAGCAAGACCTCCAGTAGGACCAGTGTAGGGAGAAGGAGCAGGCAGTGGGGAGGCCGGCTGTAACTGTAACTGCGACGGGACAGGTTGTGGACACTCTAAGAGAGGAGGACTAGTAGAAGGCAAAGACCAAGAACCTGCTGCAGGAGTTGAACAAAGTACGGTCGAGGCCGCGTGGAAACGCGAGACACAGCAGGGACAGCACCAGTACCCCCAGCAGGAGCACCCGCTCCAGCAGCACCTCCAGCAGCTCCAGAACCTCCAGCAGCACCAGGACTACCCCCTGCAGGACCGCCAACAGTACTATCAACGCCAACACGCTCAAACAGCACCAGCTTTAGTCGAACCCCGCAGGCCCAGCAGCTCCAGTACTAACAGTATGAGCACCTCCGGGACCCGCGACAGCAGCACCCTCAGTAGCGGAAGAACCTCCAGCACCAGCACACGGCTCCAGCGCAGGGCAAACCACTCGCGCAGCTCCTGTGGAGAGAGTGGCTCCCGCAGAGACGAAGTACCCGGAGAACTCCAAGCGAAGCACCCCCAGGCTCAGCACCCCCAGGCAAAGTACCCCAGGCGTAGCACCCCCAGGCTCAGCACCCCCAGGCCCAGCACCCCAAGTCTCAGCACCCCCATGCTCAGCACCCCCAGGCTCAGCACCCCCAGGCTCAGCAACCCAAGGCCCAGCACCCCCAGGCTCAGCACCACGAGTCTCAGCACCCCCAGGCTCAGCACCCTCAGCAGCACCAGAGTCACCAGTGACCTCGACAACGCTCGACTGCGTCTACCTGAGACACACCTGAAGGGGCATGACCCTGAGGGGGGAGGGGGTCTACCGGGGGGGGACCAGGTACAAGGAAGAGCGGGGGCGGGGGGAGGGACGGAGTGCGGTAGGGGAATAGGCGGTAGTAGGGGACCGACTCGTCAAATGTGACGTCCTGGGAGGACAGAACACGGCGAGAGGTGGGGTGGTAGAACTGCCACCCAGGCGCGTCAGGGGGAACCCCAGGAAGACGCAAGGAGCAGCACGAGGGGACAGCTTGTCCGCAGACAAGTCGCGGACAAACGCCCGAGATCCCCAGACCCGGAACGCCGATGCATCGCCAACTTTCCCCGTCCACAGCAAGGCAGGGGAGGTCTCGGTTCTGGAGACCCTGGGGTGAAGGTTGATCTGATGCGCCGCGTACCTGACCGCAAACGGCCACAGAAAATGGGGGGCAGCCGCATGCATCATAGACGTACGAGCGACGTCCATGACCATGCCAATGCGGCGCTCAGAAATCCCATTTTGCTGCGGAGAGTCCGGAAGCGTGAAGGTCTGACGGATGCCTCGTGCACGATAGTAGGCTTGCAGAAGGCCAGAGGAGAACTCTGAATATAAGACCCCCCGTGCCCCAAATTGAACTATACACCATAAACGACAAATTGATATATGACAAATAAGTGTACCCCGGGTCTTAAAAATTTGCAACCGCCATAATGTCCACCCAAGCATATTTTTAAGCATTTGTAGGGAGTCTCCCGGGTCTTCTAGCTGGAACTATACGGTACTATGTAATAATTTGTGTTGGGTATTTCATGCCCATAGTGGTAGCTCCTACACTCTGGCTCTTAATCGCTTCTGTGCTTACACTGTGCCCGTCTCTTAGGGTTGACCACGTGGTCGCAGCATTTCGACGCACGTCATTTGTCGCGTCATTGGCACACGTCGATGTTCTGCCAGGCTGGGATGCATGTAGCTAACAGATCAAGAATCCGGATCTAACTCGAGCAATCGCTACGCACCACATGTACGTGTGCGAGCTCTCAGGACCCACACTTTTTCAGTGGTGAGTCTGACTGACCCAGGAAGGGGGCAGACGAGATGACACTTGTATTTCCGCAGTGAATGCCATTTTTGCACCTAGTTTACAAATTTGTTACCACTCCGGCTCTGCAGCGAATTGGCGATATCGCATAACAAATTTCTCGTCGCCGCGCCATTACCCCAGCACCAAGCAGAGTCGTGTCGTGTGAGCGTGCTCCGTTCAGTTCAGAGTATGGTTCTTGGTCCTGGCAGCGCGTCTCTCGTGGGTCCTCTCTCTCCGTCGCCACTGTCGTCGCTAGAGTGGCGCCGGCGCTTCTATTTGGAGCATGGCGCCTATGGCCGGAATTCGATTATAAGCGCCCCCCCTAGAAAACCTTTACTTATTATAAGCGCATATGCGATTTGAATTTTAATTCTTGCCTAAAACTGTAACGAAATCCATTTTTGCAGCGAGTTAGATTTCAATTTCGCTTCGTTCGACTCGTGAAGACCTGACTGGCTGCGCGTCCAGTGAGGATGTGCTGGAATGACGTGGCTTTGCCTGTGTGTGAACCCAGAATATCGCTTGTGCGAGATTCTGCATTGTGACGCTAAAACATTTCGACTCGGTTGAAATGGCAAGAAGAAAATGAACAATTTGGTGCTCTAAAATTATAATTTCGTATTTGTCATTATATAAGCGCCGGCGGTTATGGCCGTTACTCAATTACAAGCGCCCCCCCTCAAAAAAAACGATTTTATTATAAGCGCATATGCGCCTATATCCGGGGCCATACGGTATAACCGTATCCTTTCATATTCCTTGTACTCCTATATAATCTTGTATCTCTTTGTTTTTATCAACTTACTTTGCCCTCACATACTAGCGCAAGGTGGTTCACAATCTCTTCAAAACGCTTCCGCTATTACATTGATACTACCCAGAGTTCACCCCTGCAAAGATCCTAAGGGCTTTTCTCAGCCCAACACATTACTAGTATAGGCTTTGTAAGGTGCATACTACGCAATAATTTGTGTTGGGTATTTCATGCCCATAGTGGTAGCTTCTCCTCTCTGGCTCTTAATCGCTTCTGTGCTTACACTGTGCCTTTCTCTTAGGGTTGACCACGTGGTCGCAGCATTTTGACACACGTCATTTGTCGCGTCATTGGCACACGTCGATGTTTTGGCACACGTCGATGTTCTGCCACGCTGGGATGCATGTAGCTAACAGATCAAGAATCCGGATCTAACTCGAGCAATCGCTACGCACCACATGTACGTGTGCGAGCTCTCAGGACCCACACTTCAGTGGTGAGTCTGACTGACTAGGAAGGGGGCAGACGAGATGACACTTGTATTTCCGCAGTGAATGCCATTTCCACACCCAATTTATAAATTTGTTACCACTCCGGCTCTGCAGCGAATTGGCGATATCGCATAACAAAATTTCTCGTCGCCGCGCCACTACCCCAGCACCAAGCAGAGTCGTGTCGTGTGAGCGTGCTCCGTCCAGTTCAGAGTATGGTTCCTGGTCCCGGCAGCGCGTCTCTCGTGGGTCCTCTCTCTCCGTCGCCACTGTCGTCGCTAGCGTCGCTCTCGTCGCAATCTCTTTCCATGCGACACTACCGCTGGGCTCTACTCGCCATACCCCCCGCTCCCACTCTGATCCTCTCGGCTCCGCGCGCCCACGCTGTTATGGCTTCCGCCTCCGGTCCGTCACCGTCAACGTCAGCGGTTGCTGATCCGTCAAAGTTCGGCTACCGGTCGACGGCGGAAGATGTGACGGCGGGCGTCGATTTGAGCGGCAAAGTGGCAATCGTAATGGGTAAGAGCATCGATGATTCGGTTTCGCCGTATGCAGTAAACGGGAGGAAACGGGAGACAAATTGGAGAGGAACGGGGAGAAACGGGGAAAAGAGGGGGGAATTACGGGGGTGAGGGGAGAGAATGTGGATCAGAAATATCCTGCGTGTTTGTGTGGTACGGGAAAGGATAAAAGGGCACGGTAGAAGGGAGGACATGTGAGGGACGGGGGGGGAGGAGGGGGAGGTGGTGAGGAGTAGGGATGCTTTGATACCGCTGATGTGAGGCACGGGAGCAGCAAGTGCAGCGGCAGTATGAGCTATTCTCTCCCACTCTCTTAGCACCTTCCACCCAACGAGTCTTTACCACCCTTGCATTTCTTTCTCGTCTTCGCCTTTCTCAATCAAACTGATCTTTCTCATCCGCTCGTCCGCCCGTCTTCTCGTCCTCTCGTCCTTGCCCGTACTTCCACTCCCCTCTCTTTTCCACCCTAGTCTCTTCCCCGCGCCATTGTGAAAAAGCGTGTAAGACGCCTCAAAAGCTGTTTGTGCCATGTCTGAAAAAAATTTCAGTCCTCCACCCCAGCCTTCCTCCTCCCCCACGCCCAAATTCATTCAGCACTCGCGAATTCCCCTTCCCGCGCGAACCTCGTCCTCGTGCCAATGTTCTCCCCACGCGCGCATGTCGCCCCTCTCTCTTTCCGCCGCGCTAATTTCTTCTTCCTCCCCCTCTCCCGACACCCTTGTGGCGCGAATTTCCTCCCCCCAGGCGGCAGCAGCGGCATCGGCACGGAGGCGGCGCGGGTGCTGGCGCTGCGAGGCGCGTCCGTGGTGCCCGCGGTGCGGAACACGGAGGCGGGGGAGGCCGCCAAAGCCGCCATCATCAAGGACATCGAGGGGCAGAGCGCAGCGGCGGCGGGGGTTCCGGCGGCGGTGCGCGAGCGCGTGAGCGTGATGCCGCTGGATTTGGCGTCGCTCAAGTCGGTGCGCGCGTTCGCCGCGGATTACTTGGGCCTTAACCGCCCGCTGCACCTCCTCATGTACGCGCGGAGATGGAAGGGGTGCGGGGGGGAGGGGAGGGGGCGAGGGAGGGGGAGGGGGGTGAGTGGGTGAAGAAGGGGGAGGGCAGGGGTGTAACGGGGTGGAGGGGCCGGAGGAGGGAATGGGAGGAATAGGGGGAATGGGGTAAATGGAGGGGCATTCGGCTTCTATGATAACAGGTTTAGTTGAGCTTAAACGATCTGCTGTTAGTGCTGCCCCACTGCCATGCTGCCCCACTGCCATGCCGCCCCACTGCCATGCTGCTCCACTGCCATGCTGCTCCACTGCCATGCTGCTCCACTGCCATGCTGCCCCATTGCCATGCTGCTCCACTGCCATGCTGCTCCACTGTCATGCTGCTCCACTGCCATGCTGCTCCACTGCCATGCTGCTCCACTGCCATGCTGCTCCACTGCCATGCTGCCCCACTGCCATGCTGCTCCACTGCCATGCTGCTCCACTGCCATGCTGCTCCACTGCCATGCTGCCCCACTGCCATGCTGCCCCACTGCCATGCTGCCCCACTGTCATGCTGCTCCACTGCCATGCTACTCCACTGCCATGCTGCCCCACGCCATGCTGCCCCGTGCCCCATCACAACACACTTCCCTCCTTCCCTCGCTCCCTCCCTCCCTGCTTCCCTGCCCACCTACCCATTATGCTAGTCATTCTACTGTTTCGCCTTATTTATTCCTCTCGTTCAGACCTTCCCCCTCTCCCCGAACCCACCCCACCGTCCCCTTCCCTTCGTCACTTCCTATGCAACAACCCCCCACTCGCCTGCCCAACCAATCCCACCACGGCCCACCCAATCTCAACCAACCCCTCCCCATCCCACCCCACCCCGGGCAGCAACAATGCGAGCGTGATGATATGCCCGTTCATGCTCACTGCGGCCGGCCATGAGAACCAGTTCGGCACCAATCACGTGGGTGAGTGCAGGGAGGCAACCACGTGGGTGAGTGTAGGGGAGTAGCGACCATGAGGGTGAGTGCAGGGGAGCAGCAATGAAGTGGGTGAGGCAAGCAAGCAGATTACATGCGCACAGCATGGGTGGCGGGGTGGAGTGTGAGGGAAGAATGGGAGTGGTGGGAGTGAAGCAGAGTCTACCAGTTGGCTGTTCTCTTTCTAGGCTCGAGTGCATTTGTTGCATTCCTAAGCTCATGGAGCTCTCAGGCTGATCGCACCACACCTCCACTGCCTCCCTCTCCCCCTTTCTTCCGTCCCTCCGCCCCCCCTCCCCCTCTCTTCCCTTTCACCCTCTTCCCCCTTCCCCTGCACACACCCCCCACCCAATTGCATCGCACGTCGTACCCCCTTTAGGCCACTTCCTGTTGACCAACCTGCTGCTGCCGAAGCTCAAGGAAACTGCCAAGCAGGAGGGCGCAGAGGCGCGCATCGTGATCGTGTCCTCCGCCGCGCACCAGTTCCCGTACCCGGGCGGCATCCGCTTTGACGCCATCAACGCCAAGGAGGGGTACGACTCGGTGAGGGCGTACGGGCAGTCCAAGCTCGCTAATATCCTGCACGCACGGGAGCTCGCACGGCGGCTCAAGGTGCATGGCTGTGGGAGAGGAGGGTGTGTATGAAGGAGTGGGTATGTGGGTGTTGTGTGAGTGAGTGGGTGTGTGTGTGAGTGTAGTTGGGTGGGTGGGTGGGTATGTATGTGTGCGGATGTGTGCGTGAGAGTGTGCATTAGTGGGAGGGAAGGGAAGAAGCAGGCAGGGGAAACACGCCCAAAAAGCACATTTCATGCTACGTCTCAAATTCCTCACCAAAAATCTCTTCCTCTTCTTCCCGACTCTCCCTTATGATTTTTTTTTGTTTGTTTTGAAAACCTCAGTGCAGGTATGACTGTAAATGCTCTGTACCCATGGGTGATTGATCCTTCAACAATGGAAAAACCCCCTGCTTCCCTCGCCAACACCCTCCATCACCCTCCCTCCTCCCCTCTCTCCCCTTCCCTTCTCTCCCTTGATTCATGCGAGCAGGAGGAGGGTGCAGGAGTGACAGTGAACGCGCTGCACCCGGGGGTGATTGACACCAACCTCTCACGTCACATTGTGCCACCAGGGACCATCTGGCACACCCTCGGACGTACGTGGGGCGGTGGGCGGGTGTGCTGTGCGGGTGGGTGGGTAGGCGGGTGGGTGGGAAGGGCAAAGTGCGTTAGGGCATGCCACATGGGGTCTGCAGAACCGTTGGTTTGCTGAGGTCCAAGCAGTGTAGTCTGTGGACCAGGGTGAACCAGCTGTGAGCCAGATCTTGGACAATGCAAGTGCACTAGATAGTTACCATGTAACACAACTGGTCTGAGGCCTGGTTCGATTGGGTCGGAGCCATTTATACAGGGCCGCCATGGAAAATGGCAGGGGTTGATAATGGTCTGTTAGACCAGTCCGCGAAAGCAAGTGCGACGTGTGTCGAACTTGTTCCGCGGAGCCAATATCGCTTTGAGGTACAAGGCAAAGCCTTTCGTGCTACAGAGTGCCGTAAGCGACTGTCCGGTGTGTCTTCTACAAGGCACACACTGGGACATAGTTGATGGGGTGGCCAGGTAATTAGGTGGTGTAGAAAGAGGGGGAAGGAGGGGCGTCTGAGGGGCTGATGGTTTGATGGAAGCTGTTTGGCACAAGCATGCTTTGTTCTTTTGCAGTAACTCCTGCTCGCTGCTTGGAGCTTGCTTCTGCAACGGCTTGGCTGAGCACCCATTGTTGTCATACTACCACTCGTCCTGTGCTTGTGCCTGTCCACTGCTGCCCTGCCATGTTGTGCAACCAACCACCAGGGGGAGCGTACAGCCTGGTGTTCCAGTGGTTCATGAAGACCATTCCTCAGGTACCCTCCACCTCCACCTACTTTATACCTCGCCTCACTGCACTTTGCCGTACATTACCTTAGGGGAGTGGTTAAAGTAGCTCTTCACCGCACTGCACACACTCTATATTACTCTGCACCCTACTGATATGCCTCCAACCAACCCTGCTGCAAGAGCGATTTGACGTGATTGAAGAAGAGCTGCCTCAGCTTTCACCAACCCCTCACCCCTCCTCACCCTTCCTCACCCCTCCTCACCCCTACTCACCTCACCTCACCTCACCTCCCCTCACCTCACCTCACCCGACCTCACCTGACCTCACCACCGCCCTCTGTTACTGCTGCATGGTTGGGTGCCCGCACGCACCCATGCATGGTTGGGGGTGTGCGTACTTTCCCATGCATGGTTGTTCCAACTTATCCCCATGCTCATGTGCACACTCCCTGCAACAAAGCCCAGTGGGGCTACTTCTCATGCTCCCTCATCTTTCAACCTTTCCCCCCTGCCCATTCTTACTCTCACACACTCTCTCTCTCAAGCCACTCTCGCATCGTGCCGCCTCGAGGCACACACCCTGTGCCTCGCTCCCCCCCCCCCCTTACACACTCCTTGCACCTCCACCTGACCGCCCCGTATCCTCCTCTCCCCACTCTCCTCTCCTCCCTTCTCTCAGGGTGCGGCCACCTCATGCTTCCTGGCGGCGCACCCCTCAGTGGCGGGTGCAAGTGGGGGCTACTACGCAGACGCCACCGACCCCTCCACCCCCACCTTCACTCCCACCGCCACCCCCACTCCCCCCACCGCCGCCACCTCCTCCTCTTCCGCCCCCGCTCGCTCCTCCAGCGCCCTTGCCCCCCTTGCCCTTGCCAGGGCGGCGTCTCCCGCTAGGGGTAGACGCCGCACCGACCGACTCAAGACCAAGGAGGTCGGCCGCAGCAGCAGAGGCAACAGAGGGCAGAAGGGGGGAGGGGGAACACCCCTCAAAGATGGGGGTGCGCGGGTCACCTCGAGAGGCTCCTACAGCGACTATGCTCTTCTCTATCGCTAGGAGGGCGCCTTCTCGAGGAGGTCGACAGTGAAAGTGGTGGGACAGACCGAGAGGAAAAGATCCTTGACTACACGAAGGGAGTCAGGTAGGCGAGTGACCATGTAGTAGAGAGTGATGTACGTGGGGGGGGGGTTCTTTGCGCAGAAGTCAGCAGGAAGTGCAGCGCGGTAGCGAGTATCACTTGTGCGGAGGTGCGTAATAAGGTCAGCTACTGTGGGAAAGGCAGCAAGGTCAGGAAAGAGGTACGGTAGCATGAGACGGCTCAGTGCAGCGAGGAGTAGCGCGCGACTACAGCGTCGTACAAGGTCTGAGCACTCTTGTACTGACTAAAGTGCGCACGCTCAGAGGTAGGGAGGTGGCGACGCACAGCAAGACGTGCAGCAGCGTCGCGGGTGGCCCACTGGGAGCAAACAGTGGCGTCAGCATCAGCAGCAGGGGCAGGGGAAGCGCCAGAGGTGAGGTCAAAGAGAGAGAGGCCGTCTGCCTTATCGCACTGTAAGAACAGCTGCATGTCATCTACCCAGACCTCAAAGTCAATGGCCCGACTCTCAACGTCAAAGGCGAGGACACTAGGGGTAGCCATGACAGCAGTAGACTAGCAGTACTGACTGTAGGACACGGGTAGTGCAGTGACAGAGGTGTTGCTCTCACCAGACAGGGCGGTTTGGGCAGCTCAGCAGCACAACAACATGGCAACACTGCTGCTTGGACGGCCCAGCAGCAACAGCAGCTCCGCTGTACCAGCGGCTCAGGCGGCTCGAGCGGCTCAGGCGGCTCGGGCGGCACGGGTGGCTCAGGCGGCTCAGGCGGCTCGGGTCTCAGCAGCACAGGCGGCACAGGCGGCTCGGGTCCTCAGCGGCACAGGTGGCTCGGGCGGCTCGGGTCCTCAGCGGCACAGGGGACTCGGGCGGCTCGGCTCCTCAGCGGCTCAGGTAGCTCGGGCGGCTCGGGCGGCTCAGGTGGTTTGGGCGGAGCAGGCGGTGCAGGGCGGCGGAGCCGCAGTGAAGAATGGCTGCGGGGCCGCAACGAGGGGCGGCAGGGCCGCGACGTAGGGCGGCAGGGGCCGCGATGAAGAGCGGCAGGGCCGCGAAGGAGAGGTGGCGGGGCCGCGAAGAAGAGGCGGCGGGGCCGCGAAGAAGAGGCGGCGGGGCCGCGAAGAAGAGGCGGCGAGGCCGCGACGAAGGGCGGCAAGGTCGCTAAGAAGGGCGGCAGGGCCGCGTCGAGAGAGGCGGCGGGGCCGCGAAGGAGGGTGGCGGGGCCGCGACAAAGGGCGGCAGGGCCGCGACTGCAGAGGCGGCGGGGCCGCGACGTGAGAGGCGGCGGGGCCGCGACCAGGGGTGGTGGGGCTGCGACGAAGGGCGGCAGAGCCGCGACGAGAGAGGCGGCGGGGCCGCAACGAGGGGCGGCGGGGCCGCGACGAAGGGCGGCAGGTCCGCGACGAAGGGCGGCGGGGCCGCGTCAAGAGAGGCGGCGGGGCCGCGACGAGGGAGGCGGCGGGGCCGCGTGAGTGTGAGGCGGCGGGGCCTTTTCGACGGGCGGCGGGGCCTCTAGGGCGGCTCGACAAAGCAAGAGAGAGGGCCCGGAGCGCGACTCAGGCCGAGCGCGCTTCGGGCAGGAAAAAAATTATCGATGTGGTGGGCCCTAGGCACAGTTCCCACGGAGGAACCTGCTCGATACCATGAGAAAAGTAGAACGAGAATGAATGAACTATGAATGAAGTGAGTACATATAGCAAACCCTAATTAGGTTGTACCCCCTTTGGGATACCCCACTATAGCCTACAAAACAGCATAAGCTATAATATTCTGACAGGAACTAGAGCAACTCGCACACTGGCAACAAGCGCAAGTGGCACACGGGCTAATGGAGTAACTGGCTCTGCGACTAAAAGTAGCGGCAGACGAGCAACGGACTTACGGGCGACTGGAGCAACGGGCTCACGGGCGACTGGCGCAACGGGCTCACGGGCGACTGGCGCAACGGTCTCACGGGCGACTGGAGCTACTGGCTTCTCGGCGGCCACCCTTTTCAACCTCCCCAAACTATCCCACCCCCATTTCACACACCCCCTACTGCACCCCTAGGTTCACTCACACCCCACCCCCTGGCACCACTCCGTCGACTCCCACACACCCACCCCCCTCAGCGGCAGCTGCAGCAGTGGGAGACAGAGGAGGAGGAGGAGCAGGGGAGACCACACACCCGCCACCCCCCCACTCGCCACCCCCAAACCCGAACACAGGGCAGGGCGGGATGGCGGGTAGGGAGGTTACGGGGGGGGGGGGGGGGGAGGGGCGACGCGCGGCCTCCCTGGGCGCGGGAAAAGGGGGGGGGGGGCGGTGCACGTGCCCCCGGTGCGCCGCGGCTGGCGACGGGGTATGGCCGGGGCGGGGCCGGGGCCGCAAGTGGCGGCGACGGGGCCGCTAGGGTGGGCGACGAGGCCACTGGCGGCGGCGACGGGGCCGCTGGCGGCTGCAACGGGGCCAATAGGAGCGCCGACGGGGCCGCTAGGGTCGACGACGGGGCCGCTGGCGGCGTCGACGGGGCCGATAGGGGCGGCGACGGGGCCACGAAGGGGCCGCGAGGGGCCTGGAAGGGCGGCAACGGGCCGCGAAAGGGGCGGCGACGGGGCCGCGAAGGGGCCGTGAGGGGCCAAGAAGGGCGGCGACGGGGCCGCGAAGGGGCCGCAAGGGGCCTGGAAGGGCGGCAACGGGGCCGCTAAGAGGCACCAGACGTGAGATCGAACAGGGAGAGGCCGTCTTTCCTATCGCACTGTAGGAAAAGCTGCAGATCATCGACCCAGACCTCAAAGTCAACAGCCCGACCCTCAGCATCAAAGACGAGGACGCTAGGGGTAGCCATGACAGCAGTGGCAGCAGTAGCAGCAGTGGCAGCAGGAGCAGCAGTGGCAGTAGGAGCAGCACTGGCAGCAGTAGCAGCGAAGCGCGGCGATGCTCTTACCAGGGCAGAGGGTCGCAAGTGGTGGGGCAGGGCCGAGGCGCACCGGCAGGGACGGGCCGAGGCGCGCAAGTAGGGCCGAGGCGCGCCGGTAGGGGCGGGCCGAGGCGCGCCGGTAGGGACGGGCCGAGGCGCGCCGGCATGGTCGAGGCGCACCGGCGGTTGCAGTCAGCGGTGGCGGCGGCTGCGGCCTCGGCTGAGGTGGCGGCGGCCGCTGCTGTCGGCGGCTTCGGTGGTGGCGGCTTCCGCTGCAGGGGTGGCGGCGGCTGCTGTTGCAGGGGCGGCGGCGGCTGCTGCTGCAGGGGCGGCGACGATGGGCCGCGAAGGGCGGCTACGGGGCCGTGAAGGGCGGCGAAGGGGCCGTGACGGGGCCGTTAGGGGCCGTGAAGGGCGGCGACGGGGCCAAGACGGGGCCGCGAGAGGCCGCGAAGGGCGGCGACAAGGCCGTGAAGGGTGGCGACAGGGCCGCGGAGGCAGCGACGGAGCCGTGGAGGGGCCGCGAGGGGCCGCAAAGGTTGGCAACGGGACCGTGAAGGGCGGCGACGGGCCACGAAGGGGCCGCGAGGGGGCCGCGAAGGGCGGCGCGAGGGGCCGTAAGGGGCCGCGAAGGGCCGTAAGAGGGGCCGCTAAGGGCGGCGCGAAGGGGCCGCGAGGGGCTGTGAAAGGGGCCGCGAGGGGCCGTAAGAGGGCGCGACGGGCCGCTAAGGGCTAGGGACGCGACGGGAGGGAGGGCACACGGGGCGCGACTCGGGCAGAAGCGAAGCGTGCTCCGGGCAGGAAAAAAAAAAATGATCGTGGTGGGCCCTAGGAAGCGTTCCCACTAGGGAACCTGCTCTATACCATGTGAAGAAACGAGGAATGAATTCACTAGGCAAAAAGTGGGTACAAGTAGGAAACCCTAGAAATGTGTTGTACCCCATATGTGCTACCCCACTACAGCCTACACAGGCGAAGTCATATAACTCTGACACGTGATGCCTTTTGGACTGACCGACGCCCCCACCACCTTCAGAATAACCATGAGCGAAGCCTTCCGCCCACTCTCAGATAAGTGTGTGATCATCTACTTAGACAATA